GGCCATTCCAAAGCACTTTGCCAGTTGATGAAGTACTTTCCAAGTATAGCCACTGTTGTACTGAAAGGAAATATGTTGTTAATTTGCACACAGTCCCATTTGCAGAAATAGTCAATAATCAGTTCAGAGATAGTAGGAACTGCAGATGCTGGAAAATCTGAGATAACAAGGTGGAGAGCTGGATGAACACAGCAGGCCAAGCAGCATCAGAGGAGCAGGAAGGCTGACGTTTCGGGCCTAGACCCTTCATCAGAAATGATAAATTAGCAGAGAATTACAAAGATGAAATTGTAGTCAAGTTCCTATTTCTCTAAGACCTTTCTGAAACTTCAGAAGAACAAGTGTACATGAACAAAAGGCTAGCTAACGGATTGATTTTCCTGGCCCTAGCACTCCTGGACAATTTGTACAGGAGGCACACCGCTGAGGAAGTTTAGATGGAGAACCACAGCAGTAGGTTTCTGCCACTGGACTTCCTTACTGAGAATCTTAAGAGGCCTACGCCATTCACGTCAGAAACAAGCACAGGAAAGTATGTTGTAAGATATCTTCTCATTCATGTCTTTTCTGATGAAGGGTCTAGCCCGAAACGTCAGCCTTCCTGCCAATAATCAGTTCATTTGTTTTTCATGATACTGGTTGAAGGATAAACACACTTCTGCGCTCCTCTTACGAAAATGTTGTGGGATTTTAGAGTTTACAAGGAAGCCGTTTTAATCTCTGAACTGAACATACACACCTTCAACAGTGTGGCAACCCCTCTATACTGCAGCTTCAGTTGTGCTCAGATCTGTTGAGAAGGGTTTGACTTGGATAGAGTTTTTGATACTTTTCCATGAGGAGACTGTACCCATCATAGAGTCGTAAAGTTATACAGCACGAAAACAAACCCTTCAGTCCAACCCATCCATGCTGCCCAGCCATCCTACATTAGTCGAGTCCCATTTGCCAGCATTTGGCCCATATTCCTCTCAACCCTTCCCATTCACATACCCATCCAGATACCTTTCAAATGTCGTAATTGTACCAGCCTCCACTACTTCTTCTGGCAGCTCATTCCATACACCGGCCACCCTCTGTATGAAAAAGCTGCCTTAGGTCTCTTTTATATTTTCCCCTCTCACCTTAAACCCTTGCTCTCCAGTTTTGGACACCCCTACCATGGGAAAAAGACCTTGACTCTTTGCCCTATCCATGCCCCTCATGATTTTATAAACCTCTATAAGGTCACCTCACAGCCTCCGACGTTCCAGGGAAAACTACTCCAGCCTATTCAGCCTTTCCCTGTGGCTCAACCTCCAACCTCGGAAACATTCTTGTAAATCTTTTCTGCACCCTTTCAAGTTTAACAGGGAGACCAATATTGCATACAGTATTCCAAAAAATGGCCTAACCAATGTCCTGTACAGCCGTAGTATGACCTCCCAACTCCTATACTCAATGCACTGTCCAATAAAGACAAGCATACCAACACCTTCTTCACTATTCTATCTACCTGTGACTCCACTTCCAAGGAATTATGAACCTGCACTCCAAGGTCTGTTTGTTCAGCAACAGTCCCCAGGACCCTCCCATTAAGTGTATAAGTCCTGCCCTGGTTTGCCTTTCCAGAATGCATAACCTCATTTATCTAAATCAAACTCCATCTACCTTTCCTCAGTCCATTGGCTTATCTGATCAAGGTCCCGTTGTACTGTGAGATAACCTTCTTCACTGTACACTACACCACCAATTTTGGTGTCATCTGCAAACTTACTAACCATACTTCCTATGTTTACGTTCAAATCATTGATATAAATGCTGATAAGCAGTGGACCCAGCATCAATCCTTGCAGTACACCACTGGTCACAGGGCTCCAGTCCGAAAAACAACCCTCCACCACCACCCTCTGTCTCCTACCTTCAAGCCAATTTTGTATCCAAATGAGGCAAGAGCATTTTTTTACGTGTTTGCCACTCAAAAATAAAACAGCAAGAACTAGAAATCACTGGATTGCCAGAGATTTGAAGGTCAGATTTGCCAGGAGTTGGGGATCACATGACCCTTGAACTACACGTGAAATATTCTTTCTGCATTTTTAATATGAAATATGACATGGCAACAATTCATCAAACATTCACCGCAAGAGATTTTAAACTCTGCAGAAATACACACTGCAACAGTAAATCATAAGTAAACCTCTGAACTATGTAACAACAGTGGAGCTATTTTCCACTGAATAAATGGTTTGCACAGTTCCTTATGTTTAATGACAAGTCTTGTGTGTAGTTTGCTTGCCAACTACAGTTCTAACATAATGTTTTAACTTCAAGAAATGGCCTTAGTGATTGTAGTGTTACGACTGGCATATGGCACTGTAGAAGTAGGAAGTAAAATGTTTGTCTTGGTACATTTTACAAGGATTTCATATCATCAATGATTTTGACATGACACTTCTACTGCCAATAGCGTACACTCCCAACTCATGTACCTCCCTTGAGCATATGAAGTTGCATATGTGGCAAACAATTATCTTGATTATCATTAAAGGAATGCAGATTCAGATGTACAGCATAAGTTTAAATAAGGTTTATTTACCAGAGAATTACAAAGATGAAATTGTAGTCAAGTCTCTAGTCAAGTTCCTATTTCTCTAAGACCTTTCTGAAACTTCAGAAGAACAAGTGTACATGAACAAAAGGATAGCTAAAGAATTGATTTTCCTGGCCCTAGCTCTCCTGGACAATCTGTACAGGAGGCACAGCGCTGAGGAAGTTTAGATGGAGAACCACAGCAGTAGGTTTCTGCCACTGGACTTCCTTTCTGAGAATCTTAAGAGGCCTACGCCATTCACGTCAGAAACAAGCACAGGAAAGTATGTTGTAAGATATCTTCTCATTCATGTCTTTAGGGACCTCATGCAGAGGTTCAGCCTGGAGCCTTTCCCTTTTACTAGTTGGTGATACAAATTACTTCATCCCCTCCAAGTCCACTGAGTGGCCCGGATGTACTTTCCATGGGTTATGCTCTCCTGAGACCACCTCCAGATGACCCATGACCAGATTTCTTGCTTCAGCAATAGTCACAGATTGTGTTTGAGTTGATGGGTGTGATGCCTTATAATCCAAAATATAGATTGACTCTCATGGTAGCTAAAGGTTGAACTTACTTATTTTGTTTGTTACTCTTTGCCCGTTGTACTTCATTGCAACTGCAGCCTGTTCTGCCATCTTAACTTTCCATTATAGTAAAAGACATCTGGACAAACACTGTCAATACTGCCTGTCATCCTGATTGTTCCACCTTCAAAACCTTTGGCTCCCTCTGACAAGAAACAGGAGTTACGTACTTTTATTCATTAGTGCAAAGCCATTTATTGTGACAATATTGCCATTGTGTTGAATTAATTGCTTCGACCCCAGTGCACTTCCTAACATGGAGTGTTGTTTGTAAATAGCTAACTAATCTAGTATTTCTTCTAAAGCATATTTTAAAAGCAAGAAATAGAGCTAAAAAATGGCAGCTAATAGATCCAGGTGAGCGCTCGGACTCATGTTTATTCCCAGTCACCAGACCAAGATGGGCTGGTGCCAGGCTGCAGCCCTTTCACTGCCCATTCCCATACAATCCATCAGCCCTGGAGGTGGAATAACCTAGGCACACAATCTCAACATCCACTCACAGGTGCAACTCTCCCGTTCTCCATGCTTCTTTGTGACTGTACCAAGATGATCTGAGAGTGACTGAGCTCACGATAGGAGTGGCAAAGACATTATTTATTATCATTTATTAAAGTCATCATTTCCCTGGTACTTGTGTGACCCTCCTCCAGAAGCCAGTCCATTGATGAAAGCCCAGAGTGTTAGCAGTCTGGGTGTTAATGATAGAACTAGGAACAAGATGATTGTTGACCCTGGAACTGCACCTTGCTCCAATGCTACCTGCATGTTTTCAAATGCATGAAGCAAGGTCCCACACTTTGGGGATGTGGCCTTCCCTTTCTTATCAACACAACTCCTAACCACTTCAGTCAAGGACTGTAACTATCGAGCATAATGTTAAGGAACTCTACTTTTGAAGGTAGGACCCAACAGACTTGGGTGCACTACCTCTTCAGGAGCCTAGGAATCACCCTCTGTCTACTGCCTCCCCATAGTACCTGATCTCCCATGCTTTGCAAGTCCCCACATATGCTGTGCACTTATGTTACACCTGTCACAATGTTAGGATGTCTCAAAGCATTCCACAGCCACTGAGGTAATTTTGCAATATAGTATGTTTTGTAACACAAGAAATGGAGCACAATTTTGCCCATTACAGTATGAAAAGGACTTAGGTAATCTGTTTCTCATGATGTTGGCTGACAAATATTTGGCTGGGCCCTGGAGAAAATCACACTTCTTCTTCTAAATAATACTATGAAATGGAGAGGTCTCGTTTTAGCATCTCATCTGATAAACAGCAACAATATCAATTCTGCTCTTGATTTGCGTAAGGGAGCCAGCGTTTATTTCAGTCTGGGGTCTGGAATACCATGAAAGTCTCTTTCACCAAAATACCTAACCCTGGCACAATTAAACCAGAGGATGTCACTTCTCAAAGTTGTTCCCATTATACTTCAACAACAGCATTTTCTTCCTAACACCAAAACACGAGTGAAATATGGAAGCAAATGTTCATCAGAGAACTGATGGAGTAATATAAAATACTAAGTGAGGACAATTTCAATAAACTACAACTATCTCAATGACAAGATATAGGGAGAAAATGGTAACTGGTAAGTTTAGGACTGATGTTAGGAGGCATTTCATGCAAAGAATGGTTTCTGGTTTTGGAGAGTTGTGGCTAAAACTCTAGATTCATGAAGCGATTGTCAAACACTGAAGTGGAGAATCATAGAATTCAATAAAGAGATGAATTTGACAGCCTAAATGTCCTCAGTCATCTCTGTTTATTGTCATAGAATTGTATAAGATAGCGAACCGTACTAACGTTTTCACTTCACTCCTGTATTTTACAGAAAGTCGGTTGTGATGAGGTATTGGGCTCCAACAAAGTGATGGACAAATGTGGTGTTTGTGGCGGTAACAACACCACATGCAAAGTGATATCTGGAATCTTCAAGCAAACCATCATGTCGGTGGGGTATCACAAGATTCTTGAAATTCCTGAAGGAGCTACACGAATTAATGTCACCGAGATGACGAAAAGCAGAAATTATCTGGGTAAGTGCTAACTATCAGCCTACTAACTGGTGCACTCTCCATGGCAACGTCTACCAATCCTGGTGCACTTTCCAACCTATCAGAACACTCTTCTCATACAAGATAAAAATTATGATCACCTTTACAATGGTTATCTTGTGAATGTCATGATGGATAAAAGACATAAACCTTTCACAACTAATGTCTTATTCCAGCAGTATAGGTACAGCCCTGCTCTCTCCTTCGAGAGAGAGAGATGACTGGTGGTGGTTTAACCTGAGCATCACCATGCCTCAAGTGAGGGGACAGGTTGAGAAAGAGACTCCTTTGTGATAACCTCAGCCGGTATGAGAATTGAAACCACACTGTTAGGGATCACTCTGTAATGCAAACCAGCCATCCAGCCAACTGAGCCAACAGACCCCTTCCAGGGTGCTCAAGTACCAAGTTATTAAAAAATTCACTCAGCTGGGTATCTAGATAAAAAATGAGGACTTGGAAATTCGGTAAGACGTAAGTGAGACACACAGATCCTGTGACAGGAAATCACGAGGACCTGCATGGCCCAGAGTACTTAGCTTTTTTTAAAATTCTAATTTTGCCTCTATTTTCTGAACTTAAGAGTTTGGAAGGGTACATGTCCAGATAAGTTGCTAGGGTACATGCTTGGATGCCAAGTATTTCAGTCCTCGAGTAATTAAACTAGAAAATATTGAGTCCATGAAATCCAAGTCTGAATGTAAACAAATACCATGGATTTTCGGCTTAACTATCTGACTGCTGTAGATACTTTACACTATCTCTTTTAGCTGACGTGGGTATTATGACAGGAGAGGGTCCTTTTTAAATATACTTAATATAGCGCACTGATGTCAACTTTTTAGATAATTGTTGTTGAACTAAATGTCAGTTTTTACCCAATTGAGCAGCTATTTTGCAAATTGCTCCCTGCCTCCACACTGAACCTGAGAGGTTATTTTCTGAGCTCATGCCATCAACGAGAGAATTTGCCAGTTGGCTACCCATGTCAGGAAATCATGTCACTCTGCCAACAATTTCCAATTCAAAGTCACTCTTCACATGTAAGCAAGGTCACTAAAGTTTGAAGAATGAACAACACAGTTGAAATGGGCAAAGTAGATTTTAATAATAAGACAGGCAAACTTTAAGCTAAAACAAGGTCTAACTGAAGAAATTAAGGTGAGAAGAGGTGTTCAGGAAAATAGGGAAATCAAGACAAACCCATAAAGGGAATGAAATTAGTCTACGACGTTAATAGGAATTGAGTTCATAATGATTAGCAATGTATAATGTGACCAATTTTCTTACCTATTGACTTCAAACAAGGTCAAAGCAAGAAACCAAAGAACTACAGATGCTGGAAATCAGAAACAAAATCAGAAATTGGTGGAAGAGCTCAGCAGGCCTGGCAGCATCTGTGACGAGAGAGCCTAGTTAACATTTTGGGTCCAGTGGCCCTTCTTCAGAACAGGCAAACAGAATAGGCCCTTCTTCAAAACAAGCACTGTGTGTATTTGGAATTGTGTGAACAGGCATTGTGCAAAACAGCCACTGTGTAATACAGGTGCTGTGTCAATTGGGTATTGTGTGAATAAATATTATGTCACGTGAGAGTGTGAGGAAGGTGTCTGAGTGACTCATAAACAGCCATTAGTTATCTCCATATGCTACATTCTGTACTCTCCCTCTGTCACCTCCTGGATGGGTGTATTCATGGGTTGCACATATCTGGATCTGTGGAGCTCCTGCTTAACTATGTGCCAGTTTATTCTGAAAGAGGATTTGGAGGTGTTAGAATCTGACCTGTGGAAGGCACGTAAAGATATCTCTGGCAGTCTCACCTGTTGTCTGGAGTAAGAGAAAGAAGCTGTAGGTTGTGGGAAGAGTGAACGGCAATGGTGGTGGTAGGGGAAGGGGTAAAGAGTGAAAGTGAAAGAAGGATTTAACCTTGAAATGTGCTGCTCTGGTCAGAGGAGAGAAATGAAAAGTCAGGTGGCAAGGTTGAAGAAGAAGAAGAGAAATACAACACAGAAACAGGCCCTTCAGCCCTCCAAGCCTGTGCTGGTCATCATGCCCGGACTAAACTAAAAATCAAACCTTTTGCCCTTATTCGGTCCATATCCCCTTATTCCCTCCCTATTCATGTAACCATCCAAATGCCTCTTAAATGTCACCAACATGCCTGCTTCCACCACCTCTTCTGGCAGTGTGTTCCAGGCTCTTACAACTCTCTGTGTGAAAAACTTCCCTCACACATCTCCCTTAAACTTTCCCCCTGGGCACTATCAGCAACTCCACCTATCTTTGTTTCATCTGCAAACTTACTAATCAGATGAACCCACATTTTCCTCTAGATCATTTATATATACTACAAACAACAGAGGACCTAAGACTGACCCCTGTGGAACGCCACTAGTTACTGGTCTCCATTCTGAAAAACACCCTTCCACAGTTACCCTCTGTCTTCTATAACCAAGTCAATTTTGTATCCATTTAGCCAGCCCACCCCGAAACCCATGTGATTCTAGTTTATGTACCAATCTCCCATGCAGGACTTTATTAAAGCCTTACTGAAATCCATATAAACTACATCCACAGCCCTTCCTTCATCAATTATCTTTGTCACTTCTTCAAAAAATTCAATCAGGTTTGTGAGACATGACCGTCCCCATACAAAACCATGCTGCCTGTCACTAACTAGTCCATTTTATTACAAATGTGCATTTATCTTGTCCCTCAGTATCTTCTCCAAGAGCATCCCCACCACAGACATCAGGTTTACCGGCCTATAATTTCCTGGAATATCCACACTTCCTTTCTTAAACAAGAGAACAACATTGGCTAAGGGTCTAGGCCCAAAACATCAGCCTTCCTGCTCCTATGATGCTGCTTGGCCTGTTGTGTTCATCCAGCTCTACACCTTGTTATCTTAGCTAATCTACAGTTCTCTGGAACTTCGCCTGTGGTCAAAGAGGATGTGAAGATATCTGCTAATGCCCCAGCTATTTCTTCCCTTGCCTCTCGCAGTGACCTGGGATAGATCCCATCTGGCCCTGGGGACATGTCTACCTTAATGCAATTTAGGATACCCAAGACTTCCTCTTACAATATATTGACATTCTGCAGAGTATTCACACACTCATCCGTGACCTCAACAACAGTCATGTCCTTCTCCTTGGTGAATACCGATACAAAGTACAAAGTACATGGATAACTGCAACAGCAAGATGGCAGCAGGGTAAGTCGCTCCATTTGGAGTGCTTGCCAGTTCCCTTTCCTTTTCCTTTCTTTTTCCCTTCTTCTTCTCTCTCCTCTCTGCAGTAATTCTGTCCCCCCACCCCCTGCCCTTTTAATTACCTACTGAAGGTGTTGGGTCGCGACTGGGAACCGTGTGGCGGGAGCTGGACACACGGGCCGTGTCCTGCAGCGAGCATGGGTCGGAGTAACAGCAGCGCATCAAGAGTGCGCTGGTTCGGCGGTGAGAGCGGGGTCAGTGAGGCAGTGGGCAGTGAGTGCGGAGCTGGTTTGGCGGTGAGAATGGGGCCGGTGAGGCAGTGACGGTGAGAGCGGGGCCGGTGAGGCAGTGACGGTGAGAGCGGGGCCGGTGAGGCTGTGACGGTGAGAGCGGGGCCGGTGAGGCAGTGACGGTGAGAGCGGGGCCGGTGAGGCAGTGACGGTGAGAGCGGGGCCGGTGAGGCTGTGACGGTGAGAGTGGGGCCGGTGAGGCAGTG